TATTATTATCATTATTATTATGATTATTATTATTACTAATATTACTATTACTATTATTATCATTATTATTATCATTATTATTATTATTCGTCAACTCTCGTCTTCGTCTTCGATCGAACCCCCTTGGGGATGCATCTTCCTTGCCTGCGACGCGTAGTTGGCGCAGCCCCTCACACGGGGGAAGGGGGGCGCAAGGAAGGGGGAGGGAGAAAGATGGAACGCGAAAGAAGTCAACACGAGGGGGTTTGAACCAGAAAACACGCGGCATAAACCAGCGGGCTGATCGGGCGGGTAGACCCAAACGGGCAGGTCGGGAAGGCGGGCCGAGGCGGCCAGGTCGAGGGTTGTTGTAGCGTGATTACGGCACGAATATCGAGGAAGTCTGGAGCGATAACGCGATTCCCAAATAAATCGCGGGGGAATCCACAGCGAGAAAGGGTGTCGACGGCGCGGAGTTTTAGTAAATTAAGAGGAAGTCCAACGCGAGAGCGTGATTTGTGCATATATTTGGAGAAACTCTTGCGCGGGAGCGCGATTTTGGAATGCATTGTGAGGATGTATGAGGCGAGAGCAGCTGCTCTTGTAAACCGGGGGCCGGGGGCGCAGCTTCTGGAGGGAAGTTCCCCCTGATTAAAACCAGGGCGTGACTCCTGGGAGGAACATTTTCATTGAAAAATACAAGGCGCACTGGAGGGGGGATCAACATTTGTCTCCCAAGCGTGGGAAGTCAACGCCGCAACTGGCTGGATACGTGCTTGAAGATGCACTTGCGCGTGGTCTTTTCGCGTTGCGCCAGTCACGGCACAGAGGCAGCGACAGCAAGCACAATGAGCAGCACGAGGACGTGGGAGGCAGGACGGCGACGGCGGAGCGAGAAGGAGTGAAGCAAGGAACGGTGCGCGCAGGATTTCAAAGAGAACGCATCCTCACGGAGGACAGGAAAGAAACAAAGGCAGGGATGGATGAAGGATAGGGCAAAGGGACGGGAGGAAGGATCGAGAAAGCGGATAACCGCAAGAGACAAAGATGGCGACGAGGGTAAGAGACAGCGAGTAATGATGAGACCAAGCGTGGTTTGTACTTCTCCATGGCCCATGGTTTTCGAGAACAACGCCCATCCATGGTGCGTGTTGAAGCGGGCCCAACATTCGGGCCCAGTTTCAAAGTTCGGGGCGTTCGACGCAGGGGAGTGCGAATCGTTTTGAACAAAACGCCCACATTTGCAAACCGCGGCCTGCGCAGTTGGGTCGCGGGGGGCGCTTTTGCGCCATCTTCTAGACGGAGTTCGTGGGCGCTTGTTTTGGAAGGCACCAGGCATCCCCCCGCACTGCACCGCTTCCCCGTGCCCCCGTCTCCCCAAGAGCGGCCTCGAGACGTTATTCACGTTTCGCGCTTCACGGTTCGGCTCCGATTCCTCCTCATCCTCCTTTTCTCCCCTGGGGGGCGGCGCGAGAGCGCGAAGTTGGGCGCCCCTGTGTCCCTGTCTCCGGCCTCCCGTCCATGGCAGTCCCCCGCAGCGTGCCGCGCGAGCCCGCGGGACTGGCCAGAGCACCGGGGCGCTGCGACGAGACGCCAGACCGGGGGGGGCGGGGCGGCTGGGAGCCGCGACCGGTGAGCAGAGCGAGGGCCCCTCACAGGGCTCATGTATCGGCGGCGAGCCTGGGGGGGCGTGAGAAGGGGCGGGCCTTCCAAGAAGGCTCGGGATCCCTCCGTCCTTCTGAGAAGTTTTCTGAGCCTGCCCCGAAGACAAGGTGAACCTCTCAGAAGGCCAGAGGCCTTCTGACAAGAACCGCCGCCCTCCTCTCTTCCCCCCCACGCGAGAGCTAGGGTGGGTGGGGCGCCACGACGATGCCCAAGAACGAGAGCGATGGCCTGCAGGTTTCGCCAGGTCCTCTACACATGGCTTCTGTGCCAGACGTGCCCCCGTTCCTCCTCCTGACCTGTTTTGCGGGTCTCCGTCCAACGCTGACCCCCAGCCGCTTCGCACCAACTCCCCCCTCCCTCGTCCTCTTCCATTCTCCTCGTCGACGTCCCCTCTCTCCTCTCTCCTCTCTCCTCTCTCCTCTCTCCTCCTCCTCCTCCTCCTCCTCCTCCTCCTCCTCCTCCTCCTCCTCCTCCTCCTCCGCCTCTCCTTGGGGCCCGGCGCACCCGGCGCAGCCTCGGCACCTCGCTGGCATCCCGGAGCCGCGGCGCGGAGCTCGCGCGGCGCGCGTGACTCGGAGCTTGCTCGCGCGAGCGTCCGGGGATGCGGCTTGCGGGGGGAGGAGGAGGAGGAGGAAGGACGTTAGAGAAGGAGGGGGGAGCCCGTCCAGGACGTTTCCTCCCCTAACCTCTTTTCCTTTTCTAACCTTCCCAGACCCAGGGAGGGGGGAGCCCGTCCAGACCCAGGGAGGGGGAGTCCGTGCTCGCGCGCGCGTGCGGCGTTCGGGGGGAGGAGGAGGATCAGCCTATGATTCTGTCTCAAGGATTCCCTCGAGTGCGCATCCTAAGACTTTCATCGCCTTTGGGCTTGTCGAGCTCAGGGGTAGGGATCAGTTCCTGTGCGGCGGGAGCAGCCCAGCTCCGCAAGCGGCCGTCCCCAATCTATTTCCATCCGCACTACCCGCCCTTCCCCCCCCCCGCTCCTTCCCCTCTTTCGGCTACGCGCAGAGGGAAGCAGGGGGAGGGGGGAAGGCTTCTTCGAAGCACCCCTGCTTCTAAGAAGCCTGCCCTCCTCCCCTTATCCCCCTGGTGCTCGCCGCCAAGAGGAGATGGAGGAGGAGGAGGAGGAGAAGAGTGAAGAAGAGGAGAGAAGAGAGCAGAGAGAAGACAGAAGAAAGAAGGACGAGAGAAGAGAGGAGAGAGGAGAGAATATAGAGGTGATAAGAGAGGACGAGCGAGGGGGAGGAGGAGGGAGGAGAAGGAGGAAGAGGAGGGATGGGACCAGTGCAAACCCAAGACTCATCAACGATGTTGGAATACACCCTCCCTCCAAGTACCCTCTTCATAGACCCCGACTGTTGCGCTTTGACGATCCTGAATCGTTCCAGACTACCACTCCTGGGACTTCAACACCACGAATCAACTTATGTAACTGTCGCGCCCTGGCACTCCTGAATCGCTCCTAACCTTGTTCTGGTACGTTGGCCATGAGAACCAATGAAACTTTTGCAATTTTCAGGAGTGGAAAAAACACAGACACAATTAATCGTCGATTCCTCAGAAGACATGGGAAAATATGGAAAGTGGGGGGGAAGATGAAAACCCAGAAAATATTGGAAAATATGGGGAATCCTTTTATTTGTGTGTATTTATTTGTGTGTCCCAGGGTCCCTTCAAAATTGTTGAAGCGAATGTGCGCGGCGCGAAGGCGACAGCAGCATTTTGAAAGGAACAGGCCTCAACCCGTGAAACTATTGCAATTGTTTAAGGCGAGTGTGCGCGGCGTTATTGCGAGAGCGAAGTGTTGATAACCAACCGCCCTCAATCCGTGAAATTCTTGCAAGTGTTTAAAACAAGTGTGTGTGTGTGTGTGTGCGTGCGTGTGTGTGTGTGTGTGTGTGTGTGTGTGTGTGTGTGTGTGTGTGTGTGTGTGTGTGTGTGTGTGTGTGTGTGTGTGTGTGTGTGTGTGTGTGTGTGTGTGTGTGTGTGTGTGTGTGTGTGTGTGTGTGTGTGTGTGTGTGTGTGTGTGTGGCGCGCTATGGCAAGAACGACACGTGGAGAACTACTTTCCCTCAATCCGTGAAGCTCTTGCCATGTGTGAGGACGAGTGTGCGCGGCGCTAAGGCGAGAACCACATTTTGAAAAACGAACCGCCCTCAGCCCGTGAAACTCTTGCAACCATTGAATACGAGTGTGCGCGGTGCCTAGGCGGGAGCCACATTTTGGAAGCGACCCGCCCGCCTTCAAACTGTTGCCAGTTGTGAAGCTTCAGGTTCATAAGTGGTAAGGAAGTCTCAGGCGAAGCGCCCGGCCCGCCCTTACGACTGGCCTCGGGGCGCGACAGGGGGGAGTTTTTCATAAGGACAGGAATTGAAGGAGGCAGGAGGAGGAGGAGGAGGAGGAGGAGGCAGGAGGAGTAAGAGGGCATCGTCAGGGCTGATTTTGATTCCTCCGACTCGATTCGATTCGATTTCGATGGACTCCGATTCCGAATTCGACCTCGAATTCCGATCTGGAGTCGATTTCTCAATGGAGGTATATTACCTTGCCGATCTCCGCCGATTCGACTACTCCTGGCTTGGCTGCCGATTTCCGCCGATCCGATTCATTTCGATCTCCGATCCGACTGATCGATTCGATTCTGGGCTCTTCTGACAATGTCAGGGAGGGACAGACTCAGGGGGGGGGTATGGGTTCTCGGCGGTGTCCAGCCTCGGGATGCTTTCCAGCGGCTGCGCCTCGCCGCAAGCTTTCGGGGGGTGCCCAGATCGTACCGAGCGGCCGCAGCAGGGCCCTTGGCATCGCTCGGACGTGTGCATTTCTTTCTCGGCGAGAACCATCGAGGAACATCCTTGATCATTTGGCGAAAAACCCACACACGAAACCGACAAAAACACGGAATGGACGTCCGAGCGATGGCGAGGGCCAAGTTAAGACCCGAAGACCCGAAGACCAGATCCAGGCCGGGGCAACGCTCGGGGGGGCATGGTCGCAGGGGGGACGCGTCGGCCCCCAGCCGATAGCTCGTCGCCAGTGGTGGGGGCCCGACAGCCCGCCCCGCCCAGGGACGTGCGCTTTCGCCGTCGGGGGCGTCTCGCCGACCCACCTGCGATCTGCCGCTAATTCCAGCTGGGCGCCCGAGTTATCCGGGGTAACTCGGGTCCGGGGTAACTCGGGTTTGGATTCCCGAAAAAGGAACCCGAGTTAGCCCTGACCCGAGTTACCCCTGATGATTCGGGGCTCTGATCCAGGTGGATGCTTCCCCCCTGGGCCAGCCCCCCCCCATCGGGGCGGGGGTCACCCCCGTGCTCGAACCCCTCGCCAGGGATTTGTTTTTCCTCCGCGGAAGCCAGATCCCCCTTGGGTTCCTGGGCGCGCCCCAGCAGTTCTGGTCTTCCGGATGGGCCCCCAGGGGTCCTTCGTGGGAGTCGCGGGGCTGGTGGGCCAAGGGAGCCTGGGCCTGCCGCGAGACGCCCGTGGACTTGGCGCTCCCGCGCAGGTACTTTGACGAGATCTTCGAGTGCCGCCTGGTGAACAGGCGCTCCGCCGCCCGGCCGCGAGCGCGGGGAGGCGGAACGGCTTCGGGGGGGGAGGGGCTCTCCCCGGGCTCGGCCAGGGGCCTCGAGGACAGGCCCGAGCCAAGCCTTGATGTCGGAGGTTGCGGAGGTTGATAGACCTCCTACCCTGACACGTCGATTAAGGAATTGGCCGTTTTCGGTTCGCGAGGGGGCGTCGCGGTCGTCATTTTTGCGGGTCCAGGTCCGTCGGTTTCGGTCCCAGGCCGTTTTCACTAAGGGGAGGTTTACTAAAGGGAGGTTTGTCCACCGCCGATGATGGCCCAGTCCCAGTCCTCCATGCCGGAGAGGGAGGGCTTTCTCTCCCTCCCGTTGCCCCCCTTTCAATGGACGGTGGGGGAGGCAGAATTCGCCGAGCACGTGGCGAAATCAGAACCCCACCCCCGCCTCTCATCGATTCAGGAGAGCCGACGGTTGGTGGGGGCAGGATCTGGATGTCGCCACCTACAGTCGAGGCTGAATAGTAGGTCGACTCTGTCGAATCAAGGGTGCCCCCGTGTCCTTTGTGTCGCGACCCATGCCTTTACATTCGTGCTGCAATGTGGCCCTCGGAAGGGTCTCGTGCCCTCTCTCGTGTCCGCTCTAATCAGCCCCGGCTGCAATCCCCCCCGCGCGCGCAGCGCAGCGCGCAAGCGCGCGGCGCCGCCCGCAGCCCGGACGTCGGCATCGCGGGCATGCCGGCCCCGTCGTTGCCGATCGCGAAGATGTTCCCGGACACGCCTCGCGCGCTGCGGCCGTCGGCGCAGCATCGATAAGCCTAGGTGGCCCGCGCTTCGCCGCGGGGTCGCGGCCCATCCACCGCCAGAGTGTGTCCATGTCCACTGCTTCAGAGTCGTGGTCTGGGATCTCGAGGAGTGGCGGATGTGGACATTTGCCCGCCCCGATGGGCGGGCAGATATTCGGGGTGCAGCCCCTCGGGCACTCCTCGCGGTGTCCGCGAGCTGGCCCAGCGCAGTGGTAAAGCAGAAGACCCATCCGACGTCGTGCCATAGTCGCCGTCTGGTCTGGATCTCGTTGATGGGCCGAAGCACGTTTCTTCAGGGGATGCCCATATCCACCGCTCCTCGAGTCCCTGGAGGACGACCCCGCGGCAGTGCGTATGGCCATGTTTTGGCGGCGCAGCCCAGTCGCTGGGGCCGGCCGCTGCTCTGGTCATGCTGGGAGAGCCGGCGTCGCCTCGAGGTTCTGGTCAGGACGCACCGCGCTGGAGGTCTGGGGACGTCTGGGTCGGGGAAAACGTAAGACTCGAGTGAGCCGGAACTCGGGTCTGCCGCCGTGTTTTGACGAGCGCCTCTTGGACTTTGACGGTCCAGCTTTCCTGGGATGTCTGCAGCGGGAGTTCGCGTCAAATTTCAGATGGGGTCTCGTCGTTTTCATGATGTCGGAAACTGGAACAACTACATTACCAGTGGCGGGCAGTTTTTCAATCCCACGACTTGTTTGAGGGTCAGGGACGACGTCGGGGTGGTGTGGTGTATATTTTTCTTCCGTTTTCCAAGGGAAACAACGAACAATGTATACCAGGATCCCGTATACACCAGAATCCGCGTTCCTGTGGGAATGTCAGCGCAGGGTCGGGAAACGCGTCGGTGTGTAGAGTTCGCTTCCCTAGGAGGGTCCCGTCAGGCCCACCCGAGCCCCCCGTAACTGCCCGAGTCCTGCGTCTCTCCCCGACTGGGCAGCTGCGGCCGCCCCCCTCCGCCCCCTCCCGCCCCTCGGCGGCGCGCCGCAGGGGGGGCAGGGAGAGAAGCCAGCGGGCGGCTCGGTATCGATAGCCAGCGGCGAGCGAAGCGGGGAGTTTCGGGCTCGACGCTCGAGGCTTTCGGGCGCGCTCGCAGTCTCTTGGCGATGTTCCGCCCTCGGGATGCGTTCCAGCGGCCGCGCCCCGCCGAGGGCGCTCTGGGGGTGCCCGGATCGTCCCCAGCGGCGGCCGGAGACCCCCGAAGGACGACCCAAAGGCCAACACCTACAGCGAAAGCCTTGAGTAAGGAGCCCTTACTTTTCAAAAGGGGCTCGGTCGTTCCTTAGGTTTGCATGCGTTCCGCTACCTTTTTGGCGGGGAGCCCCCCCGGTGTTCCTTACGATTTTGGACGCGTCGTGTCGACCGGTGGCGAACCCGCCGCCGGCGTTAAAAGTTGAACGCCGCCCGCGACCCAGAATCGGTCGACGTAGAGCGATCCGACGTTTCGGAAACGGCCGATCGTTCGAGGTCGAGCGATCCCCGCGGTGTCACAAATAAACGCCGAGGTCGGCACGACACGAGCCTGCCGCAGGTCACCCGAGGGGGCGCGAAGATGACCGTGCTCGGCGCATCGCGGCCTGGATTGGAGAGCGTTGGAGGGGCGCCCTTCTCCAGTCAGGAGGGGAAAAAACACAGACAGACACAATGAGTCGTCGATTCCCCAGAAAAATATGGGAAAATATGGGAAGTGGGGGGGAAGAGAAAAACCTAGAAAACATCGGGAAATATGGGGAAATTGGTTATATTTGTGTCTATTCATTTGCGTGTGCCAGTTCCCCTTCATCCAGGGCGGCGGCGCGAGGGCGCGAACATGACCGCGCGTCGCGCACTGCGGGGCGCGGGGCGCGAAGGTAGGCGACCCTGGTGATAATCGAAAAAACGACCCCCATCTCCACTGGGCCAGGGTATCTCACGAGCGGCGACCTGCATCTGCGCCCTCGCGGTCTGGATTCCAGGGCGCGAGCCCGCGGATCCGCGGTCGTACGGACACCATCCGCGCGGGGCGTCCGCGAAAAAAACGCCCATCACCCGCGGGGGCTCGGCCCAGGGGCCCGGCCCGTGAGGCCGCGGATACGGGCAGGATTTCCGCCCACGAGCATCTCGGCCCCACCAGCCCACCCCCCTACTCAGTGGGGGTAGGCCCCGCGAAGCCTGGAGGCCACAGCACAGATGCCCACCCTGGGGGGGTGATCGAGGTCGGCTCGGGGAGGTGTACCCCAATGTTCTTCGTGTCTGTTGGATGCTCTCGTGCATCCTGGGATTCCCTGGTGGAGGGTACCCCTGGATGTTCTCTGTGTGTTTTGGCCGGCCGATGGTCTCGTGTTTCTGAAGGATGATTTTTTTTGTCCTCGCTCCAGCCGTGCAGTCAGCCCGCATAGTAAGGATGAGCGACTTTCCAAGGTTACCCTTGTCGACCCTTGCATCCTTCCCCTGCGGCCCATCCTCGGCCGCTTTTGCTCGCCGCGCCCCGCCCGGAAGGTGTCCATATGGCCCTCCAAGGCCACTGCATCCTCCTCCTCCTCCTCCTCCTCCTCCTCCTCCTCCTCCTCCACAATTACTCAATATGAAAATACTCTCCCTCTTCCCCTGATGGCGTCCGGGTGATGGCCGCGCGCCCTCCGCGTATTGTTTTTTTACACAGGATCCCCGGGAAATCCCGGGAAACGACTCTCGCTGAGGCGCCGGCGTCATTTTTTCCCAAAATGCTGCTCTCGGTGGGGCGCCGGCCTCATTTCTGCTCCCGAATCGTTCCGAATCGTGCTCCCGCTGCAGCGTGGGCCTCATTTTCGGATCGGTGTTTGGCCTCCGTCGTTCAGGATGGCGTTCTCGCCCCAGCGCGGGCCTTTTTCTCGCGCGCCCATCCGCCCGCCACCACCGCGCCGCACCGCCACCACCACCACCACCACCACCACCACCACCACCACCACCACACCACCACCACCACCAGCACCAGTACCAACACCACCACCACCAGCACCACCACCACCACCACCACCACCATCACCAGCACCACACCACCACCACCACACCACCACCACCACCACCACCACCACCACCACCACCACCACCACCACCACCACCACCACCACCACCACCACGACAACCACGCACACACGCACGCACGCACGCACGTGCACCACCACCCACTACGCACGCGCGCGCGGAGCCACAGGTCCGCTACGACACGCGTCCGCGGATAGAGAAAATCAGCGCCATGGTAAGGGATGGGAGGGAGGGGTAGGACGTCAGATATGACGCGAGCGCACCTAGCTTGTCCCTCCCCCTCCCCCTCCCCCTTCCCCTCCCCCTCCTCCTCCTCCTCACCGCGCGTCCTTCTCATACGGGTTGAGTGTAGGTCAAAGCATGTCCCTGAGACCCTGGGCATCAGGCGTTTTTTGGGGGTTGCACACCCGGCGTCGTCGCCCACCCTCGGGCCCTGGGCCATCCCAGGTCCTTGCAGGCTGGCCAGGCTCGCAGAAATGCCGCAGGGTGTTGGGGTCTGGGGCTCCGGGCGCGATTTGTCGCGGTGTTGAGATTCGCTCGCAACGTCGGATCTCAGGGATTCACCCCGTGCCCCGTCCCTTGTATCCGTCCTGCCCCTCCTCCTCCTCCTCCTCCTCCTCCTCCTCCTCCTCATTTTTGTTCCTCTCCTCGCCCCCTCTCTGTGTGTCCACCTCCCGCTTGTGCCCCCAGCCCCTTGCTCCTGCCCCTCTTTCCCCCTGCTGCCACCCCGCCCTCGCCAGTCCCCGCCTCCCGATGGCCTACTCTCACTCTCCCCCTTTCTTCCCCGTCCCCAGCGTGTCTCCGCACTCCCCCTTTTATGCATGTCTTTTACAGTCAGGTGAATCTTGTTCGAGCTCATGTCAACATCAGAAGCGCGTGCGAACGCACACGCACGCGCGCGCGAACGCGCGCGCACGCCCTCAGGATGGGGCTCGGGCATGGGCTCGGTCTCAAGCTCGCGCTCGGCGTCGGGCTAGGGCCAGGGCTCGCGCTCGCGCCCGAGTATCTGCGCGTGCGCACGCGCGCACACGCGCGCGCACGGACGCGCACAGGCGCACGCTCGCGCACACGCGCACGCTCACGCACGCGCCACGAGCACGCGCGCGCGGGCTGCTCCCGTCTGAGGGCAAGGCGTGGCTACACTGCTCGATGATGCTGGGACCCCCCCAAACCGCATTCGGGTTTTGAATGCCCTTCGCGGGGTGTGCTTCCAGCGCCCACCTTTGACGAGGGACAGTGGTTCCAGCAGCCCACGGCGTGGGCTCCAGCACCCAATCCTGACTAGGACAAGTCGTTCCAGCAGGTTATGCCGTCAAGAAGGATGGGCTCCAGCACCATTCTTTTACGAGGGACAGTGGCTCCAGCAGCCCAAGGCGTGGGCTCCAGCACCCCAATTCTGACGAGGAGAAGCAGTTCCAACAGTGTTTGCCGACAAGACGGGCGGGCTGCAGTCTGAAACGGCAGCCAGTGCGGCGCCCCGCGCCCCAGCCACGAACCCTCTTTTAAAGCCCGTCAGAATTTCACCCACAAAAATATAGCCCGTCTCTTCCTCTCCCCCTCTTCATGGTTCCCTCCCTCCCCATTTCCCCTACCCCATGCCACGTACTTCCCCTTTCATCCCCATCCCGCTCCCCTCCTGCCCTCCTTCCCTCGCTTGCTTCACTGTGCCACTGCACGACTGTGCTTGCCTGTAACGTTCCAAAACGCTTTATTGTGCCACACATTGTGATGAAGTTTTGGGGCGCAGCTCACTTGCGTACATAATTACGCGAATATTGCGTACACACGCAAAGTTTAATTAATTCGCGTGTTCACCAGCCTTCGCTTTTCTCGCGCAGACGAGACCTCTCGATGAGTATTTCTGCAAGGCTGCGTTCAAGATGCCTTGAATCCATTATTTCGTGAGTTGGATGACGATAGGCTTGGGAAGTATCGCCCAAGTCGGTCAAACATAGTTTTCTTGGATGTGGGTACCTCTTGAATTGTCGCCGTCGCCGAGTGTGATCTTCATTGCAACTTGTACACCACATCCTTCATTGTACGGATAAAGAACCAACAAGCATGGCGACATCCACCATGCACACCAGGACGTAACCAACGATTCCATTGATCGCGGGCAGGACAAAATATGTTTCCGCGGAGTTAGGCACTTATGTGTCCCATGATTACCGCAGGGAAGTCCACATAACTTTCCAATGGTGACCCCAAAGTGTTCGGCAGTACTGTTGGATTGAGCCAAGGGCGATTGCGATACTGCAACTACGTTGCATCCGATGCAGGCACGGAGAGAGACAACACATACGATACGATAAGGCTTTCGTCGCGCACCCTGGCACAGACGATTCCAAGGACTACGGCCACCCAGGATTTATTCAGGAACTGCGTTGGTTCATTAAATGTGCCGAGGAGCAACCAACACATTGCATAAGCATCGTCACGGCGCGTTGCTATGATGGCTTAGTCCCCGCTTAATCGGTTTTTCTGTGATGCATTTGTTTGGGCAGGTTGTTGTTTTGTGTCTGGCTTTATGTGTGCATCTTTGATTGGCTGCACGTTTTCTCGTTTTGCGCGTAGATTATGTGGTGGTGGCGGGCGCTTCGCACGTGCCACAGGGTCGGTGCAGCGTATGTGCCTAGTGAGGACGAAGCAAGACGGGCATCGCGGCGCGTCGCGCCCGAGTCTCATCGAAATTTGCTCGGACAGTTCGGCGGAAGGACAGACGCGCGAACCATGCTCATGCAGATCCATGTCTCGGGCGGGCGAGGGATGATGGTGACGGCGGCATTGGGGATGTCGAGTATGATGATATTGCTGTTGGCGGTGGCGATACTGGTCAAGGCGACGACAGCGTCAGTGTAGGTTTCAGGCGGTACACCGGGGTTAATATATTTCTAGATGAGCTCGAAGCTTATTTTTTAGGCAAGCTGTATATTCACTTCCAGAGCTACTTTCTTTGGTCTTGGCGCTAGCTTGCCGGCTTAATTTCTGGCCGAATTTTGAGGCTTAATTTTTGATGCCACGTTCGACGCTTAATTTGACTGCTTGCTTCCTGGAATCATTTCCTCTCTTCAAGTAGCAATATGAGTTAAGCAGGCTCCACTAATATAGGAGCCAATATTTGGCATTGATGACGTCGCTAATTCGAGGCGCCACGCGTTGCCTAATTCTGGTATGCCCTGCGTAGGTTTAGATTAGGGAAAATTAGCGGCAGCAGCTAGCGGGTATTTCTAGGGAGCTCCAGGGGCAAAACTCATCTGTGTCTAACGAGGGTGGAATCAGGCGGATAAATGAGCGCTAAAGTCAGCGGGCACATGTAGCGGTTCGGTCCGATTGCGCCCCATTGGCGCTTCAATTCGCCTAAATTAACGCCGGTTGAATTCTGGCGAGATTTTACAGGTTATATGCCGTGCTTAAGTGAGCAATGTAATTTTGGGGCTATTTTCCAAGCTGAGTGTTTAAGTTGATTTCCAAGCTTGATTGTGGCGATTATTTGCGAGCTTATTGTCGATGCTAATTTCCGGGTAAGACTTGAACTCAAATTTGCCCTCTCATCCGGCGTGCCCTCCCACCGCTCTGTCCCTCCCGCCCTCCGTTACTTTCCCGCTCTCGCCTTCCTCTCCCCCCTCCCCTCGCTTTCCTCCTCCTACCAGTCGAAGAGGGGAGACGGAAGGGGGGGGGGCGGGTTAGACGAAGGAAGGAAAAGCAAAAGGAAGGAGGCGAAAACGTTGGGGATGACGTCCGAAGAAGGTATAGGAAGGTTCCGGACATTTGGTTTTCGGCGCTTCCGTCGGCGACTTGTCCATAACCCCACAAGTATGAACAAATATTTTAGAAATTACGTTAGGCGCCTGAGGGTTCCAGCGCCGATCTCAAAAATCCGCGCGGTGCTCCGAAAGTTTATTCAAGAGGTTGACGCAATTCCGCCGAGCCCCAGAAGAGGCGGGGAGTCCACGGTTGAGGCGTCGAGGACTTCTTGGGTACGACAGGATATTCGGTTCGTGTTCTCCCTCTTGGCCTCGCTTGGGGCCCTCTCGGGCCGATCTTTGGCCGTCCTGGGGCCCTCGGGCAGGCTACGGGGCTTTTTGGGCCGTCTGGGAGCGTCGGAAGCTCCAGAAGACGATAACCCCAGAAGCAATGACAAACTTCAAGAAAACCATTGATGTTTGCCTCTCGGTGCCCTCTTGGGATGGCTTGGGGCGTCTCGAAGGCGTTTCGCGGCGTCTTAGAGTCATCGTAGGCGTCTTGGGCCAATCGTTTCACGCTTCGGGACCGTCTCGGAGCGTCCTCTAGGCCACGGAAGTCCGCGCGGAGCTGCAACAACATATGTATATGTATGTAAGTCTTTGTCTTTTTGAACTCCGTAAGGGGTTACGTTTGATCAGCATTTGAGGCCCCAACCATTGCCGCAAATCAGCACAGGTGAACTTCACGGAAGCCATCCAGGTGGTTCGTGCCACCGCGAATTCGTTTGAACCAGTCTTGCGTGGCGAGCGGTTTGTGGCCGATTTTACAGGCTCTTTCGTCTTCCCCCTCTTGCGCTTGCATCCCCCTCCTCCCTGTCCTTGCCCCCCTTCCTCCATTTCCTTAGCCTTCCCCTCAGCCCCTCTATGTCCTGCCCCCCCCCCTTGCCCCTCCTGCTGCTGCTGCCGACCCTCCTCCGTGCAGGACCCCGACTGGGTCAAGTGGGCGAAGCAGCACCTCCGCGAGCGCGAGGAGCCACGACCTTGCCGGCCGCCGCCCGCCCATCTTCTTCCTCCTCATCTTCTTCCTCGTCCTCCTCCTCTTCCTCTTCTTTCCCCTCCTCCTTCTCCTCGCCCTCCTCTTCCTCCTCCTCCTCCTCCTCATCCTTCAGCTTTCCTCCTCTCCTCCTCCTCTTTCTTCTCCTCCTTCTCCTCCCCGTCCCCCTCACCCTTCCCTCTTCCTCCTCCTCCCCTCCCCCTCCTCCTCCTCCGCCGCCTCCTCCTACCTCCTCCTCCTCCTCTTCCTCCTCCTCCTCCTCCTCCTCCTCCTCCTCCTCCGCCTCCTCCTCCTCCCCCTCCGCCCGCCCTCTTTTCTCCGACGTCTCCGCGTATGAGCCCGTGGCTTCGGACGGGGTGGACCCGCCCCGGTCACGGCCCTGGCTGCCTTCGGGGCTGCAGTTTGGGCCACATGCGCGCTCACGGGGCGTCCCTGGGGACGCAGGCCTCGCCTCCCTCTCCTGGTGCTGGCAAGGAACGGCGACGGCGACGGCGACAGCAGCGGCGGCGGCGACAGCGGCGGCGGCGGTGGCGGCGGCGGCGGCGACGACGACGACGACGACGACGACGAGAAGGGGGCCCTTCCTCATGATACCTCCACTGTTTGTGACATAATCAAGTTTGGTCGCGGCCGCGGTTGGTTTTTGTGGTTCCCTGGGCCGTGCAACATTGCATGTGTTTTGGGGGCAGGGGCGTATCGTGTGCTGACGGTACGACAGTTCATTTGTTCGTCCTCGGGGGGCAATGGTCAGGGGTTCCTGAGGGGGCGTTGGGAAGTTCCCAGTTCATTCAGGGCTCAGGAGCCAGCACCTTGCGCAAGCTTTACCATTGCAGAGCCAAGCGCTGCCACTCATCGGTGCAGCTATGCAATATCCAAGGACTCTCAGGTGGCCGTTGCCCTCGCACCCACTTTGCATCACAGATAACCTCGCAGACAGCAGCTTCGTCTAGAAAGGAAGTTCGACTCACCACAATCGTCTTTCTGCTTGTCCACAGTTTACAGCAATGACTCTGACACAAGCACCACTTTCGGCTCAGCATGGGCTCGGGTTTTCGGGCTGTTCCTTAGGTCTACGTCGGGGAACCCATTCATGGCCAAGGCTCAGGGTGTCCAGAGAAGCCCTTTAGCTCCTTCAGCGTTCCTTATGGTAGCATGATGACTGTAATAACGGCGTTCGACTCACCACAACCGCCGATCTGCGTCTCTACCACTTAACGCAGCTCATTAACTGAACGGCATCTGTCACCATCCGCTCTGGTTGACAGTGTCAGAGCCGGCACGCACGACGCTGGGCAGCACCGCGCTACGATTAGAGAGTTGACCGGGCAGTGAGGACCCACTGGAGGCCCTCAACGACGACGTCGACCTCTCGCACCTGTTTGATCCACAGCGGAGGCCAGGGGGGGGGATAATGCCCGGCGGGGCGCCCAGGGGGGAGGCAGAGGTGGCGGGCCTTTTCAGAAGGCATGGAAGGCCTCCGGCCTTCTGAGAAGCTGTCTACGGTAGGTTCGTATCGTGTCGACCGGCGGCGACCCCGCCAGCGGCGTTAGACGTTGAATGCCGCGGGCGACTCAGAATCGTTCGATGTGAAACGACTTGGACGTTTCGGAAACGACCGACCGTTCAAGGTTGAACGGTCCCCGCGGTGTCAGAAACCAACGCCGGGGTCGACACGACGCGAACCTGCCGTAAGCCTTTTCCGAAGCCGCAGGAGGCTTCTCAGAAGGCCAGGGGGCTTCCGAGAGGCCCCGGCGCCTTCTGAGAAGGTTTGCCCTCTCTCATTTTACACACGGCGCGCCGCCGAAGTGCAGCAGCGTGGCATATTAGCTCAGGATGGAAGTCAGGAGGCAAAAAACAGACACAATTAATCGTCGATTCCGCAGAAAATATGGGAATATATCGGAAGTGGGGGGGAAGACAAAAACCCAGAAAATATGGAAAATGTAGGGATCCTGTTATTTGTGTGTATTGATTTGTGTGTCCCTGGGCCTCTGAGGAAGGCAGGCTCGCTTTGTGGCAGCACTTTCGCACGCGCGCTGCCTGTCGGCTGTCCACGATTCGCCCCAAATACTGGTGCCGCGTGCAGCGGCGTGATTATCCAGTCAGGCAGAGGGCAGAGGAGTTGGCCCAGCGGCATGCTCGCGTTAAGTCGGGCCAGTCCCTGTACAGGGGGAATATTCAAAAATGGTCAAATAGTCTGTGGACGATTTTTTGACCATTTGGGAGTATGTTTTGAATATTTTTTTATTTTTCGTCGAAAATCCCCCTGTAGGAGGACATGCCCGACCTAAGCATACTCGCGCGAGCGATCAGGGTGCAGTGGCCATAGTGCTGAGAAGGGAGCAGGCAGGCAGTCCGATCGAGTCAATGCTCGGGCCAGAGTCGGGCACGACTGTGTTGACCGTCCGGCATCACCATGGAAGCCCAGGTGAAAACCGCACGAACTTTTCGTCGCTCCCGAGTTCGGTACTGAAGGAGGAGTAATCATGTTACGTTAGACGCTTCGCGTAATCCCACCAGCTGCGCCCGTAGCCCGGGTCGACCTTCGACGCCGCCTGCGCCTTCGCTTGCAGCTGCGACCAAACAAGTAATCCCACCAGCCCATCCAGAAACGATCCCCGGACCAGTTGCCCTGATCAGTGATGTGGAGGAGCATGCAGCGGAAGAATGGGCTGGGTGAGACTTCATACCCCAAAAGGGGGGCGATGGAGGAGGAATCGGAGGCGGAGCAAGAGGAGGAACATGAGGAGAAGGAGGAGGAGGAGGAGGAGGGAGAAGGGAGAGGGGGAGGGGGAGGGAGACAAGCTAGGTGCGCTCGCGTCCTATCTGTCGTCATACCCAGAGGGCTGACGGGATTTTTTAGAGTAGGGGGTGTGTTCGCACGGACCGAAAACCTTGCCGTGGCATGGCGCTGGAAATAGTGACGCCAGCGTTGCAGCGGGAGCACGATTCGGAACGAGCGGAAGCGCGGAACTGAGGGCAGCCTTGCAGCGGGAGCGCGATTCGGAGGATGCGTAGCCTGACATAGAATGGCGTGGCGAAGCCCCAAAGTGAGGGTGGGTGGGGCTTCTGCGGCCCTAAAAACCAACGAATCGGCACCGATCGTGTAATCATTTCCGATGGTTTTTTCGGAGGGCTGTTTTTTTAGATTTTGGGGCCGATTTGGAAGGACCGAAAACCATGCCGTGACATGGCGTTGAAAATAATGACGCCAGCGTTGCAGCGGGAGCACGATTCGGAACGAGCGGAAGCGCGGACATGAGGCCAGCGCTGCAGCAGGAGCACGATTCGGAACGAGCGGTAGCTCGAAAACAAGGCCAGCGCTCCAGCGAGAGCAGCTGAAAATACAAAGCGAAAACCCACTCCCCGGAAATCTTGTATGTAAAGCACCAGTACGCGGAGAGGGGCCAGGCATTTCCCGGACGTCACCAGGGGAGAGAGGAGAGTAGTATTCATGTTGAGTAATTTTGGAGGGAGGAGGAAGTAGGATGATTTGGCGGATGAGGTAGAGGAGGAGGAGGAGGAGGAGGAGGAGGAGGAGGAGGAGGAGGAGGAGGGCGAACAGAAAGGCCCGAGGCCTCTTGGATACCTCTCGGAGTCTATTCGGATGTCTCGAGAGCTTTTTAGAATCTTCTTGGGGCGTCTTGAGGGGTGCTTGGCGGCTCTGGGGCATCTTGATGCGTCTTGGGCGCCTCGGGGGAGCCTCTTGGGGGCCTCTTGGTTTTTTTGGGGGGAGCCTCTTGGGGGCCTCCTGGGGTCTCCTGGGCATCTCTTGGGGCACTCTTGGGAGCATTGGGGCCATCTTGGAGGCGTTCGATCAGAGAAGGGGGGGTATTCAATTAGGACCCCCCCCCCCAGGAGGCCAAAATGAGGCCAAAACTTCTGAAACCAGTGATTTTGGGCCTTCTCTCCGAGGCCATCTTGGACGCTCTAACCCCTCGCGGCCCCCCTTCCATGGAGAGAGGGTGGGTGGAGGGGTATACCATTTCCCGAAGGTGAGCAAGGGGGGTTGGAAGAGGAAGCGCTCTAAACCACTCGCGCCCTAAAAGACTGGTGGGATTAGCATCTATGACCCCCGCAGACTCGGACCTGTTCTGGTATCAAAAACTACGCTGCAGGACCTATGGGTTCCCTCAATGGCCGACCAGGCCGGATCCCAATGCCCCCCACCCGCAATCCCCGGCCGGAAGGAGAAGGAGGTGGAGGCAGCGAGCCGTGCAATACGTGTTTGACACGAAATGGGCCCGCACGAGCCCAAATGTCCTACTCGTGTGAATCCATGGGGAGGAGGAGGATGGTGAGGGTGAGGGTGAGAGAAAGATGATGACCCGCCCCCTCCTCCTTCTCCTTCTCCTCCCTCCCTCCCTGGAATGGTGCTCTGGCACGAGATGGGAGAATCAGGACCTAGCAGTCACGCTGATTCACGGTGTCGAAGTCACAGTAACGGCGTTGTGACACGATATCGGGTTCCAAGGAAGCGAGAATCGTGTTGATCTGCGGCGTCGAAGTCCCAGGAATTGTGCTTGGTACGATTGAGAATTCTCAGACGGTTGTCTTCTTATGGGCCACTTCCCGCATTGAGCACACATCCATTTATGGACTTATTAGCGGAAACGTGGAGGGAGGGTGTATTGCAACATCGTTGATGCGTCTTGGGCTTGAACTAGTCCTCCTCCTCCTCCTCCTCCTCCTCCTCCTCCTCCCCGTCCCACGTTCTTCCTTCTCCTTCCATCCTCTTCTCCTCCCTCCCTCCGCAAAGTTGGCAAAGCTGCGGCTTTCAGCCGCTGCAGGACTAAAAGGCTTCAAACTTAACGAGACTGTACCTGCATGCTTGCCTAATTCGGCTTGTCGCTTGCTGCGTTGCCCCTCGGGCTTCGGGCCTCTGTTGTTCTCTCGGTCGTTTCCCCCGCCGTGTGTCTTCCTCTGGCCCTCGCTCGTTTGTCTTTTTCGGGGCATCGTTTGGTCACCGCTTGCTGCGTATGGAAGTTGGCGCTTGACTCCATGCCGCGTCCAAACAAAAACAATCCCTCGCCCCCTTCTCCCAACCTTCTCATCCTCCTCCTTCTCATCCTCCCTTCTCCCTCCGCCTCCTCCTCTTCCTCCTCTTCCTCCCCATCCCACTCTCATCCTTCTCCTTCTATCCTCCTCTCTGCCCTCCCTCCCTCCCTCCTCCTCCCCCTCCCTCGCCCTTTTCCCCTCTCCTCCTCTGGGTAGGGGCGCAGGGCCTCCTCGGCCAGCCCGCTGCTGCCGGTCAACGGGGTGGTGCCAGGCGCCTTCGCGCCTTGGTCGGGAGGGGGGAATGATGGCGAGGGAGGAGGGGGGAATGAGGAGGAGGAGGAGGACGAGGAGGAAGACGAAGAGGAGGAGGAGGAGGAGGAGGAGGATAAACAGCAGGATGAGGAGGATAAGGAGGAGGAGGAGGAGGAGGAGGAGGAGGAGCAGGTGGAGGATGAGGAGGTGGAGGAAGGAGGAGGAGGAGGAGGAGGAGGGAGGAAGGGGAGGAGGAATAGGAGGAGGAATAGGAGCAGGAGGAG